TTTCTCAACCTCATCTAAAAATGATTTCACAGCGCAATCTGATCACTAACATAAACACAACCAACGTTTCACCATCATTCATTCATCATATCACAAAGCATTCACTCTTATAAATGATGCTATTGAGTTACTAACAGCTGATGAAACTATGTAAAACAGTGATGTAATAGCAACAAAACCCACCAAAATATGAAATGATTATAGGAAATTTGGTTTCTATTGTTCACGCATCTATAGGAACAGCTACAAAACAAACAGAAATTCTCACTCAGAGCCACTTTTGTGAATGTGATAGGAGGCGATTTTTCGGGCGTTAGCAACTGGTTAAACTATTCCATAATGGTCCAAGATCATGAATTCGAGTTTCTATCCCAGGGAGAAATTTTTTTGCGTTCTATTCAATGACGGATCGATGAAGTGGAAACTTTCATATTAATATTTCATTATTTCGATAAAAGAAAGTGTTTGCGTATCATTGAAAAACTGAACTGTTTTCACTCTGAATGCATTATAATTCAAGCGAATTTTTCGATTTCAAAGTGCATCATTGCACACAAACTGAGTGATTTCCTTCAGTCGCTAACTGATTGTTGCTAAATAACATTCGCTTCATTTCTAANACAAACTGAGTGATTTCCTTCAGTCGCTAACTGATTGTTGCTAAATAACATTCGCTTCATTTCTAACTCACTCAGTCAATACGCATTACTTTTCAAATGTTATTCGGATCAACAAACTGCAGTCGCATAACAATAAAGACATTTTCAACAAGAAAATGATGAGCAAGCACACGAATATTAAGAACAGATGTGTTTATGAAGAGAAACTTCCGAGTGAATGTTTAGTTTAAATGTGAGATTTATGCATCGCTATCGGAACTTTTTAACTGTGTGAATGGAACCAACAAATTAAGAACATACGAATGCAATACAAATAACGAGAAGCAGGAAATCGACGGGAAGTGTTTTAATATATATATATTAAAAATTTTAAAATCGACAATTAATCACACTGAGTTCAGTGATTAATTCGCTGCTGTAATTGACAAATTTGAGTCAGCTGATCCGTCTCGACTTCATTCAACGTTTCGTTTGCTCTCCCATTTTCTTTCTAATATCATCTATCAACATTAGTCTTCGGTTGTCATCATCAATTTCATCAGTTACACTTCTCTGATAAAATGATATCAACAAACATTTTTATCGTTTATATTATAATTGTTTTGATTATATTAATTGCACTACTGCATATTAATATTAGTCTGTTATTTTTTATGATGACGAAAACTGCTTTTCATAGTGATATTATTAGCAATCCAATCGATTTTTCCTTTTCTACGGATTAACTTTTATTTTTTCAGATAATTGATCTGTGGACGTATGGCTGGGACATGGAAATGTTTCCGGATTACGTAATGAAATTTTATGAGGGATCAGAAACGAAGGAAAATGTAGAAACTGCAAAAAGAAAGGTGAATAATGTCGCCTCGGAGACTAAGATACAAGAACAACTACAAAACGAGGATGTACGAAGTCATCACAGCTACGATACAATTGATTGGGATCATGAGAGTGTTGTTTGATTTGGGAATAAATTCCTAAAATTGATAATTCTTATTGAATAAACGCATTTTCTTTATTCGTTAAATTCAAAAATTCAGTATAATTCATGTTCACTTATCGATGTTGTCAAGAATTTCAGAATCGTCCTGTGAAGGAGCATTCCCGAAATACAGGCGATTTTCTTTTAAAAGATGATCAAAATTGAATCCTTGACTGATCTCACAGTCTGTG